GCACAGGAAAGTGGCCGTCTAGGGCAGGAGAGCTGCCAGCCTGGCCACCCAGGACCAGGTGTGCATGAAAATCAAGGGGGTCCACTGAGACCCCCGACACTGAGCCCTGAGCTTACAATGGCCGTCCTGGGTCAGACCAAAGGTCCATCTAGCCCAGTAGCCTGTCTGCCGACAGCGGCCAACCCTAGGGACCCTGGAGGGGATGGACCGAAGACAGTGACCAAGCCATTTGTCTCGTGCCATCCCTCTCCAGCCTTCCACAAACTTTGGGCAGGGACACCACTCCTACCCTCTGGCTAATAGGACTCCATGGACCCAACCTCCATCACTTTATCTCACTTCCCTTTAAACTCTGTTCTAGTTGTAGCCTTCACAGCCTCCTGCAGCAAGGAGTTCCACAGGTTAACTATTTGCTTTGTCAAGAACAACAACTTTCTCTTACTAGTTTCAAGCCTGCTACCCATTCCTTTCCTTTGGTGTCCTCTAGTCCTTCTTTATGGGAACTCAGGAAGAACTTTTCTGAATGCACCCTCTCCACCCAACCCCTGCTTTTAGAGACCTCTATCCTGTCCCCCCTCCGTCTCCTCTTTTCTAAGCTGAGAAGTCCCAGTCTCTGTAGCCTCTTTTCATCTGGGACCTGTTCCCAACCCCTGATCATGTTAGTTGCCCTCCCCTCTCCCAGCCTTTCTCTTCCCCTCTCCCACCTCCTTTTCCCAGTCTCCCCCAGTTTTGTTCAATAAAGACAGAGTCAATGTTGGAAGAAACGTTATCTTTATTTTGTACATCAATAAGAAGGGGGGCTAGGGAAGGGTAAGTGGAAGGAGGTGAGGGAGGAATGGGGTATGAGCCCCCGATGGGGAGGACTGGGCTGGCTCTGCGGGCTTCTGGGGGTGGAAGCTCTCCTGCAGCCCCCCAATTACTCCCTCTCCCCAGATGGCAGCCTGCGGCAAGTGCAGCCGGGCTGATGGCCGAGTGGTGTGATGTGCCCAGTGTGGGCACTCAGGGCACTCCAAGCCAGAACTTCTTTGCAAGCGGGGCACCCCTTAGAACTGTGTGTCCGGGGTGGGGGTCGGGACCCTTTAAGCGCAGCCCTCGGCTAGCCTGAGACAGCATCTCCATGCTCTAAGTCCTCCTCTTATGCCCTGCTGGCACTGCTTCTGGCCATCCTTAAGCCCTGTTCAGAGTCCACTCAATGTGGACTTGCTAGTTCGAATTAGCAAAACGCTAATTCGAACTAGTTTTTAGTTCTAGACGCGTTAGTTCGAATTAGCTTAGTTCAAATTAACTAATTCGAACTAAGTTAGTTCGAACTAGCGCTGTAGTGTAGACATACCCTGGAGGAAAGAACATTACTGGATTCAGCACATCGGAATGTTGTGTAAGTCGCACCCTTCTCTATCAGCATAGGAAAGGCGTAATAACAGCAGAGAGACAATGGAAGATAATGGCGTAGGGTTACATTATCTAGGCAAACTTTGTGACACATGGAAAACAAGCAGAATATGTGTGAGGGTAACAGACTCATGCTATTAAGAACTAGAGAGGAAACCACTGTGATGGGTGCAGTCACAGAAGACCCCTTGGGGATGCTTCCTGGTTTGCTGACAAAGCCACTGGCACTTGCCTCCTGGCTCTCTGGGATTTCCCCCCACCCTGTCCCTCTGGGCCAGATCACCTGGTCTCCCTCCGACAAGGCACGGAGCTGAGTTCAGCACTCCCGAAAGAGCAATACGGATACCGAATCTCTTCAGGCCTGAGGAGAACGTAGGTTTGGGCATAGCTTCCAGGGACCCCACTCCCCAAATGGAACCAGAACCCTAAATAAATCATTCAGGCAAGCCCCCTTTAACAATGAAAGGAAGATGTATACAGTGATTTACACTTATTTTATTATTGAACCATTATTTACACTGGACTTGATAGTACATAAAAGTGATTTTTAAGTACAAACAGTAGGATTAAGTGATTACAAGTGAAAACAGGCAGAGCAAGGTGCATTACAAATTTAAAATAAAAAACAAAGTAGAACTAGTTATAACACTCAAATTACACTAAAACTGTTGTTATTTAGGGAAGACCTTTTCCCCCTGGATCTCTGGTTCATTCTCTTGGGAGTGACATGCCAGCCAAACACCAAGGGCCTGAAAACTTTGCATCCTAAAGAGCCTTCCTTTTGGATGGGAATGCTGTCATTACATTCCACCCTTCCACAGAAAATTACCTGGTCAGACCTTAGCAGTGGTTGGCCTTAGGAAGACATATGATCACCCTAATTAATAAGATTTAAAGGACAAAAGGGGCTATTTACAGGTGAGCACCCAGACATTGATGGAAACAGCCCTGATGGTTTTCATTTGCACATTTACAACCATAAACCATTTCCATACTCCATATAGCTAACGTAGTGGTCACCAACCAGTAGATCAGGCTCTACTGGTAGATCTTGGAGCGTCTGACAGGTGATCCTGACTGGTTTGGCTGGGAGGCTACCAGTGCTGCCCCTGGGAGCCTCCTCATTGTCCAAGATTGGGGAGACAGAGGCAGGGGTGCACTGATGTCTCTCTATCCCCTTCTCCTGTAGCCCATCTTCACAGAGTGAGGAGGGTGGGGCCTCAGCAAAGGAGTAGAGCAGGGGTATTTGGGTTTTAAGTAAAGCCTGGACTGACTTAAATTCAAAAAGTTATCTTGTGCTTAAAAAGGTTGGCGATCACTGAGCTAACGCTTCATACAAGAATATCTACGCCAAAACAAGATCTACAGATCCAGCAAATTGTGACATCATAATCGATAGGTTACACGAGGTATTTTGTTCAAAGCATCTTTGAGTTAAGCATATGTGTATCCATAAGTCAATTTCATAAAGCATGAGGCAAGGGACAAAACCATCACAACCATGTTTCACATAATGACGTGTACGTTTTTTATTTGGCTTTGAGGGGGCAGGGAGACTTCTGCCAGAATGACTCAAACATCCATTACTGAGGGGAACTATTTCTGTATCATTGTGTCAGGATCTACATTTGTTTGTAAGAACACCTGGTAGACGTATCCCACATTAATCAGGACATGGCGTTGTGCTCTTGGATCGCCAATCCTGACCCATGCTTCACTCTCAGCCTGACATATTGCTTTGGCGGCAGCAAAAACAGAACCTACTGCGAAAGGTAAAGAAAAATTGTGCGCAAATAGGGCTCTTGTTTTGTCAAAAATATTTTAGAGTAAAACATGCTATGGCATATATTCACTGATCAGCAGGCATCAATATATTTTAATTTATCACCTCCCCCCCCAAAATAAAATGAATTGTGTGGAGCCTGCGTTCAGTTCAAGCTATTATGCTAATCATCATGTAAGAGGGCCTGAGCTTCTCATTTTCAGTGTGTCACTCAGGAGCAAAGCAAGAGAAATCAATGCAATTGTACCAATGTAAGTGTGAGGAGAAGGGGGCCCACTAATGTTGAATACCTGAATGTGCCGGTGTGTTTGAAGCTGGGATTTTGAGCCAAGCCCCTCTCGAATGCTGACATAGAAGACAGCAGGCATGTGTGTATGTCGGCCTAGAAACACCATCATCACTAACTAGTTGAATGAGGTTCTTGTATAAAGGGCCTTTTGACTTCAGGCTACAACGTATGAACATGTTGGTTGAATTGGTTGAATAGGAAAATGGGGGCAAGTCTTCTGCCCAGGACCAGAATTTGAAGAGCTCCCACACAGGTGACCTGCACGTGTGTCATGTGCTTGAGTTTATAGCCAGAGTGGTAGGGATGAGGGAGCTGGTGGAATCACAGGCTCTTTGGGGAGCCAACTTTCCAGGGGAAACAAAGCAGATCTCATTTTTTAGACCTGTTGAGCTTCCTTCCATTTTCTGTACGATAGCCTAAGCTATGGAGATTACAGTCCAGTCATGCATGTTTCTCACAGCCCCTCGGACTGTGCAAAGAGCCTGTGGAGACAAAGATTTAACCCTAGACTAGGGCAAAAGTCTATAGTACAAAGTTTTGCTGGCATATCTATGTTGGCTCAGAAGACACCTGCTGTAGATGAGAGTACGCTGGCAGAAAAATGCTTCTTCTGGCTTAGCTAATGTTTGGGAAGATGGCCTAGCTGTGCCAGTGAAAGAACTGCTGTCAGCCTACACTGCATCTCCTTTAGGGGGCGTTCTGTCAGCTTCACTAAATCAGCAAATGATCTAGAGCATAGACTACCCCTAAGCATATGACACAACATGATGCGACTGCAGAGCTGTTCTTATTAGTAATATTCATTCCCTTAAAAAAAAAAAGCCACACAGCAGACTTTGTCAGGGGGACATCACACTTCAGGTATTGATGTAGAGATATTTTAGTAATAAACGATAGGTGCATTTGTTATTAAGGAGCTCGCTTCTCTGTCATGTCACGGCAGCACTGTTTGAGAGCTTTTAGCACTTTATGTAATGGCCCTTTTTTGGTACTTTATGGGGGATGACGTGTTTATATAATAGTCTTTCAATTATTTCAAACTTACGTTGATAAAATAAAAAAAATTAAAAAACAAAGACATGTAATTCCAGTATCTGCCACCTCATTGTCCTGGATCAGACTAATTATAATAATGATGACAAAAGGTTTGATTCAATACTGAAAGGGACTTTAAAATTAATACAGTATAGTCTATCTTTTGCAGTTTATTTTCACTGGGTAATGTTTGAGACAAATCCTGAAGTTTTCATGAAGTGTTTATTCAGACTCAAAGCTCATTGAGGTCAAGGTGGCTTTTGCCTGGCTGGAGGACAACTGAGGGACCAGCCCTACAAGGCTTATTAATGTGAATAATCCTCATTCATGCAAGTGCACCCATCGAACTCAGGAAGAACAATTGGGTATATAAGGAATATTTGATATAATAAGAATTGCAGGATCAGACTCAGGGCAAGAACTTAAATAGATCAGGTTGAAGAACAAGGATTTTTTTTTTTATTTTAAATTTCCCATCTGTTTTTTTTCCCCATCAAAATCTGAAACTGGAAACATTTCAATACCAGCCTTAAAAACTGGTTAAAAACACAAAAATAGAAGAATAATTTTTCCCTGCTTTTTGGAAAGGAAGTGAAGGGTATAAACTTGGAAAATGGTCATTGACATTCCAAAGAGCTGTAGACTTCCTTATTTGGCCCCATGTAGTACTTTGAAAACCTGCATATCAGCATTCAAAGTTATAAAATGCCTTTGTTCTGTTCACATACATGTTTCATCGTTTGCGTCCGAAGCTTTTGAACATGGAAAAGTTTCCTTTTTGATTACATTAGTTGACCCATTCTTGGATGGTACTTTTGTATTTTTCAAATCTATCACCTCTTTGCTCTCTGGTCTGAATCGTTTTATTATTAAAATGGAGAGTGTTATATATAAGCAGCAGCATCCTGTCCTCAGTCCTGCAGTGAGTCCAAGATAGACATTTCTAGAAAAAAAAATGACATGCATGTTAGTATCATTGATACTTGTGACATAGTGCAAACACCCACAATCCCAAAGGAAGAACTGGGTTTTGAAGCCCAAAGAACAAGCAGTTGAATCTAACGATTGCATACTATGTTAGTTTGCATAAAAATATGTTGAGGAAGGATTTTAATAAAAGCTTGTAATGTTCTAACCTTAATCATTATGATGTGTATGCTGACTATGGTTATGAATTTACAATTCTGTGTATACAGAGAACTGGGCTCAAGAACTAGGCTCACAAACTTTGGTTCTGCCTCACAGCAGGGCAGGCCTACACTCAAAATGCTGCATTGTCACAGTTGCACGTGTGCCTCCAGAGTGCTTCAATGAAAAGGCTTCTCCTCGTTGTTAACCCACCTCTCTGAAAGGGCGAGCTACGTTGATGGGAAAAACTCTCCTGGTGACATAGCACTGTCTCCACAGGGGGTTAGGTTGGTTTAACTATGACACTCAGGGGTAGTAGTGTAGTGTAGTAGGTCTGTGATGGGGTGTGGTCAGAGAAGACTCCCTTGGGGCTGCTTCCACGTGTGCTGATAAAGCCACTGACACTCGCCTTCTTGCTCTTTGAGGCTCCTCACCACCCTGTCCTGCTGGGCCAGATCTCCTGGTCTCCCCCAGACAAGGCACAGAGCTGAGATAACTGCCTCTCTCCCCCAAAGAGCACTGCAGTCACTGAATCATTTCATCTCTGAGGAGAATGCAGTTGCAGGCACAGCTCTCAGGAAACCAACCCCCAAATGGGATCAAAACCCGCAAATAAACCCATCTTTCACTGTGAAAGGAGAACGTACAGGCTGATTGCTCCCCCAGATAATGATTTACACTGGGCTAAAATAAAAGTAATGTTATCAAGTCCAAACAGTAAGATTTAAATGTGAAACTTACTTTGCTCTGTTTTCACTTGCAACCATTTACAAGAAAAGAAAATGCATAGCTAGTTTAAACACACTAAGGCTTATTGCAAACTTATCCTAAAATTGTTCTTATTTCAGCTAAACCTCCCAGCCAGGGAAGATCTTTTTTTCCCCCTCTATGGCTATCAGCTATTCTCTTGGTTTTTGTCTGGATAGACGCACCCAAGAGACTCATAGCTTTCCAGTTTAAATAGACTTCCTTTTGGGCAGGAATTCTTTGTTTCTATCCCCTGCCCCAATGGAAAATTACCTGGTTAAACTGATGTACCAGTGTAAGTTGGTTTGGTCACATGTTTTTCTGGGACCAACCACTGCTCAAACTTAAGAGACAAAACCAGGCTGCTTACAGACAACTAACTTTGATCACACAGTGGACAAGGTTGTCAAACACCCTTGATGGCTTTCATTTGCACATTTAAAACCATAAAGAATTCCATATCCCACATTTCTAACTTTACATACAAGAGTGATACATACACCAAAATAAGGTATACAGCTCCATCAGACTGAGACATTAAAATTGACAGGTACCACGAGATATTTTGGATACATACATTCAAGTTATGTATATTTGTATACATAAGACAATTTCATACAGCATGGGGGGACCGTCACAATCTCCCAAGCCATATGTTTACACAAAATCAGACTCAAATAACACTCTGTTGTACAACTCAGGAAAAGACAAGGATGGGCCATTAAACTTAATGAAAAGACATTGAAACAACTGGAGATTTATCCACATTGAATATCTGTAGTGTCCAAAGGTGGGGGGGAACCACAGACTTTTTTTAAATGAAAGGAATTTGAAGGGAAAAGCATCCAAAAATAGCTCAACAGCCTGAGGGAGAGAAGCTATTGATTAAAAGCTGGATTACCCTCTATTGTGGGGATTGGGTATGCCAGGAAGTTGTTCAACGAAAATGGGTATCTTGTATTAGAAAGGGCATTTATCTAATATAAAAGTGTAAACCTTGTAGTTTCACCATTATGTTTCTTTTCTCTGCAACATATATGTATTTGCTTTCCCTTACTATTTCATCTTTGAATCTGAGGTAAAATAAACCAAGGATTTCTTTAATTAAAAATACACAACCAGGTATCTGTTAAGCAAATTGTGTGGAGGCCAAAGAAAATGGTATCGGCGGGGGGGTAGTGATCTGGTTTCACACATTTTGGGGTGATGGATCATGATTGTGTGGAGGCCAAAGAAAATGGTATTGGGGGGGAGGGGAGTAGTGATCTGGTTTCACATATTTTGGGGTGATGGATCACAGAGAAAAATCCAAGTATATAGTAGTTAAAAACTTGGGGAGACATTTCAGAAGACATGGGACCAGAAAGGCTATTGGGAGTCACTCTGCAAGGAGTAACTAGGCTGAAGGAAGCCAGGATGAAACCCTGTTCTTATAGTCTGGCTACTGGTGTCAGGGTTCTCTGCCTTTGCAGAAGAACATTAAGGCATCCAAGATCACAAGGCAAGTGATGACAGAACTTCTGACTGGTCTGGATGATCCACGACAGAACTTCTGACTGGTCTGGATGATTCCCAAACTGTCAATACTTCCAGGTCTTAATGAAACTTAAGTGTCAGATGTAACATATGCATTTATGAAAAGCTTCGTAGTCACTCCAAATCTTGCTAAATCAAACACAACAGTAAGGGCTAGAGTCTAGGATGTGCTAGGATGCCTCTGCATAGTTCATAATTTGTCTGATAATTTCCAGCAGAGAAAGAGCTCCCTTTCCAGCCAGTTTGGGAAGTATGTCAGAGCAGGGAGAGGGTGTAACAAACAGAGAAGCATTCTATTTGCAGTGCCAATCCTCCAATGAGGCAAGCTTGTTAATGGATGATACATCCGTAGCACCTCTTAGTTCTGCTGGGTCTTGCCTCTGTTGACTTTTCCCCATTGCTTTTTGCCTTTATTCCTAATTTCGTCTCACCTGAATGCTTTCGTGTCATACACTCTACAAGATCCTGAGCCCCCACACTTCTTTGTTCCCCATTTCAAGCAGGTCTGATCTATCAAAGCTCCAAAATAAATAGGAGCTGGAAGTCCTCCTGCAAAGAAAATATATTAGTAGAATGGACATAGCATTATAACAATGAGCGAACTTAGTTTATAGCGGAGGAAAAGCTGGAAGTCCTCCTGCAAAGAAAATACATTAGTAGAATGGACATAGCATTGTAACAATGAGCGAGCTTAGTTTATAGCAGAGGAAGGAGCCCCTTAAAAATGGTTAAAACAGGAGCATATGAATTCACAACTTCTGGATTGTGGTTCCACCTCTGCTAGCTGCATGACCGTAGGCAAGTCGATCAGCCTCCATGTTTGCCCAGCTGTAAAATTGTAATTTGCTATTTCCCAGTCTTGTCAAAATAATGCACATAAAGTGCTTTGAATTCTTTGGATGGGGGATTCTGTAGACTGGACGGGCATTATTATTATGCTCAAATAAGAAAAGAAATTTCCCAGTCCCAATAATTCCAGTTTTTTCCCCTCTCTCTCTCTCTCTCTCTCTAAAAAAAAGTTTCACTGTCTTCTTCACACTCTCTCTAGCATCAATCTGTTCCTGGTTTTGATTTGTGTGTCACAATTCACCCGCCCCACCCCATCTACGCCACAGTAACCATTCAAGCTGTGTAATTAAAACAGATCAGTGCAAGAGCTCTGTTCACCAAAACACTTAAGTAAATACCAGTACTTAACGTTAAGCATGTGTTTAAGTGTCATTGGGCTTGCCTACACTGCAAAGAAAAACCCAGTGCACTGAGTCTCAGAGCCTACATCAGTTGACTTGGGTGCACAGGCTAAAAAGGCTAAAAATAGCCATACTGACATTCCCGCTTGGGCTGGAGAGGCTCAGAGCTTGGTCTGTAGCCCAAGTGGGAATGTCTACACTGCAGTTTTTAACCCTGCAGCCCAAGCCCCAATTGTCCTGAGCTCTGAGACATTGTGGGGGGTTTCTTTGTAATATAGACCTACTTGCTGACGTCATGTACTTATGCATGTGCTTTGCTGGCCTAAACCATTCATTGACCGCCTGCCAAATAATTCCATTTTCAAAACAAAAATCAATCACAAATTACAGTGATCAGCATTCAGCTTTGTAAGGAAAAAATCTTTTAACAACATATGAAAATAGCTAGGTGAGAGCTCATTGGGAAATGGGCGCCTGCAATGGCCAGATATGGCGGGGGTGGGGGCAGAGGGAGGTCTTTGTGACAGTCAGGGGGTGGAGGTAGACAGAGCACACGGAAGCTCTGGGAACACAATGCTTGGAGATGTCCCCAGTGGTGGTCTAGGGGAAGGAGGACATGGAGATGCAGCCCTAAAGGAACTGGGTTATCTTATTCCATTTTTAAGTCTGAAATACCAAATCCTAATTCTCAGGTGCCTGCCTCCGTGAATAAAACCAAAACCCTGCAGTTCAGTCCCTTCCTTTTCCCCATCTCTTTCATTACATAGATCTTTAAATAGATAAACATATTACATCATCATATGCTAGGACACATCTATCAAGCATACTGAGGTGGGACATATTCAACGCACTTTACAAAATCAATGTTTGACAGGTTTTGGGGGGAGGCAGTTGGTTCTCACACAGTACAAGGGCATTACACCTTCTTAGATCCATCTTTATTATTGTATTCTATTTAAATCCCAAAAGGAATAAAGAAGAATGAAAAAACCCCACATTTTTACCTAGTATCCTTCCACACAAAGCCTCAATGCCTACAGCAAAGGATTTCAACTCTGGTGAAACAGATCTGAAAAGTAAGAGGATAAGATTACATTAAAAACAAGTGGTCCAGTGGCACCTTAGGGTGCATCTACACAGCACCATAACTTGAAATGAGATACACAATTTGAGCTACGCAAATTGCATATCTTATTTCAATTCTATTTCAAAATAGCTTATTTAGTCATTTGGCACTGACTACACAGCGCCAAATTTCAAAATAAAAGTGCTATTCCAAGACATCCCTTACTCCTCATAGAATGAGTTTTACAGGGATGTCAGAATAGCGAACCCAAAATAACCCTGCAGCTTACTGTGAAGATGCAGGATAGCTATTTCAGGATACTCCAGTATCCCAAAATAGCATTGCCGTGTAGACATAGCCTTAGAGACTAACAAAAATATATAGTATCATGAGCTTTCATGGGTAAAACCAACTTCACCAGATGAGCTGGACTGGAAATAATAGAATCCAAGATATATAAGGTTATATTAACTTACATTCATGGAAAGAGCACATAAGATAGAAGCAGGCATAACTGCATCTACATTGTGCATGTCCACATATGCTCCATTGTAATAAGTGCTATACAATTTTATTTTATATAGCATAAATAATGCATAGCATGCCTCAAAGGATTCATTTAAGATGCTGCTTCTATGCCTATTGAGCAGGATTCCAGTTAGGCATGTAGTGTAAAATAATATGTGAATTCATCATAGAATTTTAAAATATTTTTCTTCTATCATAATACTTTTAAGGACCTTATCCAGCCAGATATTTAGGGTATGTCTACACTACACAGCTTTTAGGGACACTGCTGTGTCAACACAACCGTGTTGCTAAAAGAAAGCAGTAAAAACATTGTTTGTTGGCACTTTTGCTGATAAATGACTTTTGTTGTTCTGGGTGCAGGGGGTCAGGCGTGTTTCCTACCTGACTCTGCATGGCTCTAGAAATGGCAATGTCTCTTGGCTGAGTAGGCTCTGAGGCGGAGTGATAGCCACGGGGCCTCCATGCATTACCCCTGCCGTGCTCTGAGCACAGGCTCCAGAGCTCCCAATGGCCACGCCTCCGCAAAGGGGCCAAAGGATATGTTGCCATTTCCAGGAGCTGCCTGAGATGAACACCTCTGGAAGTGAGGGTTACCAGACGGCTTTCAAAAAAATACTGGACACACATCATCTCAGAACGGGAGGTCAGGGGACTGGCCGGGAAGGTAGCGGGGCTGATTGGGAGGGGAGCAGAGGGAGTGGGGCTAAGAGGGTGGGGGGGCGGGAACCGGCCGCCAGGAAGCAGGGCTGGTTGGGAAGGGGCCAGGGGGAGCAGCGGGGAGCAGGACTGACCCAGGCGCAAGCAGATCCCGGGACGCTGCGCGACCTGCACACAGTCCCGGTGGGGCACATGAGCAAGTCCGGTCCCGGGGATTCCATCCCGCCCCCGCCCTCCTCCTCTCTACTGCGTAGCTGCGTACTGCCAGGCTAGTAGACATGCTCACACAGTACGCAACTAAGTACTGATACTCATGATAACAATAAACCTTACTTAATATGTCCTGTATTTTCTCAATTTGTTTCCCCGACAGAAAACTCAAATACCAGACTGTCCAGTTCAAAACCGGAAACCTGGCAACCCTACTGGAAGCCTAAACCCTGCACCCACTCCTATGCCCCAGCACTGAGCCTCCTCTGCCACCCAAATGCCCTTCTGGAGCCCTCATCACCTCCCACTTTCCAACTCCATGCACCAGTCCTGATCCCCCACCTGCCCTCAAAATCCCTCCCAGAGCCCATGACCCAATGCAGCTCAGAAATCTTCAGGTCCCAGCTGAGATCCCCCTCCTGCATCTCAGACCCGTTAGCTCCACCCTTGCCCTAGAGACCACACCCCCAGCACCAATAATTTAAAGATTATAATCCATCTTTATGAATGAACAGTAGCAGAATTTGGTAATTGAGGCCAACAATTTTTGTTTTACTTTTATGTTTAAAAAGGTCAGGGATAATTGGGTTCTTTGCTTTGATTTTTGTAACAGTCAATTTTCATTGGTGCTGGAACTACACATTTTGTTCCAACTTGAGACAAAATAGGAGATATAACATTTCAGGTTGTGTATTGAAATGAGGCAATTCAAGTCTACCAAAACCCACAAATACAACTGGAAAGCGCAACACAGACCAGAGATTCTAATCTCAGATGCACAGCACTTTACTTTGTGCAAACCACTTTATAAAGGCGGGTCCTCTCTCAGAAAACCCTAAGTAGTTACAGGTTGGATCTCCCTGGTCTGGCGCCCTTGAGACATGAACAGTCCCAAACAAGGGAATTTGCTGGACCAGGGGCGGTCAAGCCTTGAGATTCTCCTAGGGATCCCCTCCTCGCCACTGCTCCCCCAGCCCACCTGCCTGGCTCTGCTTCCCCCTAACCTGCTCCCAGCCCCCTGACCCTATGGACTGCCGATAGTCACTCCCAGGGCTCCCTACCCCTTAGCCACTGGCTCTGTGGGCTGCTAGCCCACCAGACAAGCTCTGCTCCCAACTGCTCTTAGTCTCTGCAGCTGGGGCTCTCTGAACGTCTCTGGTCTGGTGTGGCAACCTCCGTGGTCTGGCAGAATCAAGGATGTTGCTGGACCAATCTATATTGTATCCATTTTACAACTGGGTTAACTTGGGTACAGAGAACTTAAGTGACTTAGCTAAATTCATGCACAGTCAGAAGCCATTGCTCTGACTATTGAATAATCCCCTGTGCCCCAACTATAATTAAGTGGAAAGGGTCAATCCAATCCATCACATAATTCCCAAAGAGTTTAAGTTAGAAAAATGATGGTTTGGCCTTTTGCTGGCCCTCTGCAGAGGAATGCAGGAATGGCAGAAACACCAGCTGCCTCTCTGAGATTAGAATATCATTCTTCAAAGCAGCAATGAAATGACAGAATGGTACATTACTACTTGGATTCTATTTGCCACAAACATTTGGGTCAAAGTTAAGGTAAAGTATTTTACCTAAACATGATCATGTATGCAGGAGTGGCTCCTAATGCTAAAAAAAGTGCACACATGCTCAGTAATGCTAAAAAATAGGGAAATGTTTTAGTACACTTTTCTCTTTGGCACTGTCCCAGAATTGCAGAGAAATTGCCAGTCTCGGGCCCTTGACCTTGCACACAGCTGCAGTTGTGAAACACCTGAAAGACAGAGATGACTCCCTTACTTCATGAGCACTCATACATTGGCAAACATCTACACCTTTGATGGTAATTAAGAATACAGCACATTTCATATAGAAATAGAGGACCTCTAAATGCTTTGCAGACTGTACAGACATGGTCATCTCGTCTAAAAAAAAGATATGTTGGCACTGGAAAAGATTTGGAATAGGACAACAAAAATGATGAGGGGTTTGGAATGGGTGTCATATGACAGAGATTAAAAAGACTGTGACTTTTCATCTTAGAAAAGAGGAGACTAAGGGAAGATATTATAAATGTCTATAAAATCATGACAGGTATGGAGAAAGTGAATAAGGAAAAGTTATTTACTTGTTCCCATAACATAAGAAATAGGGGTCACCAAATGAAATTAATATGTAGCAGGTTTAAAACAAACACAAGGAAGTTTTTGTTTACTCAGCGCACAGTCAACCTGTGGAACTCCTTGCCAGAGGATGTTGTGAATTCTAGGACTTTAACAGAGTTCAAAAAAGAACTAGATAAATTCATGGAGGTTAGGTCCATCAATGGCTATTAGCCAGGATGGGTAGAAATGGTCTCTGTAGACCCTGTTTGTCTGGAAATAGATGACAGGAGAGGGATAACGTGATGATTACCTGTTATGTTTACTCCCTTTAGGGCATTGGCCACTTTTGGTAGAGAGGATACTGGGCTAGATGGACCTTTAGTCTGCCCAAGTATGGCCGTTCTTATGTTCTTATCTCTTTGCTAAAACACTGATACTACTTATTAGTTCTTTTATGTGCCACAAACTGCTCAAATGTCTCCAAAGATAGGTATTAGAACAGATACAAATCTTGGATGTGGATGTGGATCTCAGGTTTAAAACAAACAAAAGGAAGCTTTTCTTCACACAGTGCTCAGTCAACCTGTGGAACTCCAGAGGATGTTGTGAAGACCAGGACTTTAATAGGGCTCAAAAAAGAACTAGATAAATTCATGGAGGTTAGGTCCATCAATACTTATTAGCCAGGATGGGTAGGAATGGGGTCCCTAACCTCTTTTTGTCAAAGGCTGGAAATGGGTGACAGGAAAGGGATCACTTGAAGATTGCTTATTCTGTTCACTCTCTCTGGGCATCTGGCATTAGCCACTGTCAGATGACAGGATATTGGGCTAGATGGACCTTTGGTCTGACCCACTGGCTCTGTTTATATGTTTTTATGTTCATGTCCCATGGATCAGATTATCATCTATTCTTCTGCTGCTTTGCACTACTCCAGTCATAGGTGCTGGGTGCCATATGCTGGGGGAAAATGTCTCTCCCCAAACAGCCTTGTTTAGCCCTGCCCATGCCCTGTCCCAGTTCCAATCACCTGCTTGAACATCTTGATATACTAGTAGGCAGCTCCAATCCCCCTGTACAATGGCCCGGGCTCAGTCTGGGGCTCTGCTGCCCATCCTCTTGGTGCTCCAGAGCTTGGAGGAGCTAGCCTGGAGCCAGGCTGGTGGCCATGGCAGGGGGGGGGAGGGGACCAGAAGGGGCAGGGCCGCAGGCAAATGCAGAAGCCCCCAGCCTGCTGGTCACACTCCTCCCATGGTTCCAATGACAGACCAGCTGGGAATGCAATTTAGGCAGCCGTGTTATTACTGGGTATGAAATTCTGGGCTTCGATTAAAGAGGAATTAAAGTTAAAATCTGAACTCCAACAAGTTTGTTTATAGCTAAGATTTGGGGGGCGTCTAAAGTACATAAATAAGTATAGATTACAATGGGCCTAAATATTCAAATGTGTGTACCTAAATCTGTATTTTGGGACCTAAATAAAAGTGGCTTGTGCAATGGTGTAACAGGTTTCACTTACTCCTAGGGAGCCTTCCACCAAGCCTGGCACCCATTTCCTGACATCACGGCCCTTTCCTATTTCTGGGACTCAGGGTACTCCCTCCTCCCACGTCACTAAGATCCACACCAGACAACAACTGTCCCATGAAGTCTTTGTCCCCACTACCCAGTCTATGCCACTTTGGAAATAGGGTGTCTAGATTGGAACCCAAAGTATTGGGCTGGCCTGGGTTCCCCTAACAGCCACTGAGCAACCACCATGATCTGCTTACACCCAGAACCTGTTGCTATTTCTTTTGGACTTCTTCCTACTTTTTTGCCCTTATCTTCTAGTCTGAGTATATCAATCAAAGCCCCTTCCTCCCAGCAGAAAGCGTGGGCAGGCTACCTAGCACATTCCATTTCTCCCATGAAAATTACTTCCTTTGTAACCTCTCTCCACTGCCAATTTGTGGCTTTTATCATTGTCACCTATTCCTTCCCAGATGGGCTAACTTTTCAATTCCACACACACACACACACACACCCCCCAAACTCTCTTCTCCAGGTGCAGCCTATTAAGTTAATGGACCTCACTCAACTGGTTCTACCTTGGTAGATCCCATTGCAGCTGACCACTGAAGTCAGGAGAAGTTGTGATTACTCAACTCCTCTGAAACCCAGGACTTTTATTTAGGTGCCTAGGAATATGGATTTATCTACTGTGAAGTTAGCAAGTATTGCTTTATATTTTATAATTGCCAAGTGATAAACTAAACATGATTTCTGAGATATCACAGATTAAATTTGAATATTTTCTACTTTCTCACCACTTCCTAGAACAATTTACCAGTTGAGATTTTCAGAGCAACAGAGGGATAGAAAAGCAATGATGTGCTAAATTGCCTGCATTGCTTTGAAAATCCTAGCCTTGCATGTTATTTTAAGCACCTAGTCTTACATTGCTTATATCACAGCTACGTTGACAAGATTCACTATGAGTAGGACTCAAGTTTGTAGCTTTGTTGTAATTCGAATTAACTGATAGATAACTTTGGTTTAACTAGCAAACGCCTTTGTAAATGCTTGGAACAAGCAAACATTTGTTCCAAGATGTTTCAACTTTTTCATCACGCTGGTACAGGCGACATATATTGCCCTGGGTGAATCAAGAAGTTTAAAGTTACAGAGGTTTCTTTCAAATTGCTCTTAAACTGATGCAAACGTTACTGTAGATGCTCTTATTTCTGTTTGCGAATAACTTAGTTTGGTTTAGCTTAAGCTGATTCTAAACTGAATTAAAAGAGAAGGTGCCTATCTTTTTGTACCAATTTAACTGAACAGCTTTGGAGCCACATGTTAACCTCCTCATGTAGACAGTCCCTCAATGCAAATGAGTATCAGACCCTAAATTAAGAGCTTTCCATTTCACATATTGTTCTCAGTAATAAAGATTCTGCAAACCAGATTAAACCATCATGGACATTTGAACAAATCTGTTGTCTTTTATGTATTTGCATAGGTATGACTTAGCATATAGCTAACTCTGCTCATAATACACAAAAGGCTATAGAATCGTCTTATTTGGTGTTGCTCCTGCGATCTAACAGAAACAAAGGTAGTGACAAATTATTTTTATCACTGACATATTCAGCCTTCTATCTGCTTACATCTAAGTAACAGAACTTCTGATAAATATATATCTAAAGTAACTGAGTAGTGAAACATTATTGAAAACACCACATTTTAAGTTGTTTTTTAAACTTTAAAGACAAGTAAAGCTATTGAGTGAGTTTAGGTTATTGAACTCCAATAAGAGTTGAGTGCCTAACACCCTTAGATTCTTTTCTCTGAAAATTGAGCTGAGCATTTAGCTCCCTTTGGCTCCCTTAAAATTCCCAGTTGGACGTTTTTGTGATTTGCCTATTCACTAGTTCAGAGGTAAGTTGCTAGAGAATGAGTAGCTATCTCTATATGGTTACTTAGCCATATAATAAAAAGAATTACAAATAAGGAACAGAAATCCATCCATATAAATTATTATTTGCATTCTCTTAATCTATATCTACTTACCATGTTCTTTCCAGTCCCAATTGAGGATTTACAACCAGCAAAACATGCGGTCATATAAGTGATTCCATTGTCCCCACATACAGGATCCCATTGATTCAATACACAGCTGCAGTTAGAATTGCAGCTGGCAATTAGGTTGTTTTTTAGGATGGAAGATTGTTTTACTCTGGAGAGATAACAAGTAGCATTTTAATTGATCAAATAAAACAATTCCTTATTAGAAAAACAAGCATAGACAACTCATGAATAACTAAGCACAGAGCAATGAGGTGGAGTAAAACTGTCTCCATGGGCAACCTGTATCCAGTGAAGGATGACATGAATAGACACAAAATGGGATTGCTAATAGATTTAGTGGACAGCGCAGGAGAAAAAAAAATCATGCGTGAAATTGCAACAGCATCAGTCTAGCTATATCCTTTCTACCTCCACATTTTCCTACTACTTCTGTGACTGTGAGGTGGTGGCATAAATCCCTACATCTACATGATAATAACTCCAGGTGTTTGGGCAGAGTAGCAGTGCTACTCATTGGTTTGGAGGATACATGTGTGTGAGGCTTGGTCTACATCCTGAAGCATTTCCTATAACTCTTAACACTTTAGTATGCACTGTCAATACAGCCATAGAAACAAAGCTGGCACAAATCTGTGTGTTTTCATTGACCTCGGTAGAACTGAACTGATTTACATTAGCCGAGGATGTGATACCAGGGTACTTTTCTCTTTATCTAAACACTAGAAACTTTACATGTTAAGACAACCAAATAGTCCTAGTGTATTTGTGTGTAAAGTTATATACCAGCAAATTACAGCATAGAAATAATGGCCTGAGTCACAGAGCATAAATCTAAATTCAGATCTGAACTACTCCCTAGTTTAGATCTAAAGTCAAATATGGATTGTTCCCTAATGTCCTACTTAAGGCCTAACTTGAAATGGAACCATCATGAGAAGAACTCAGGAATACACAAAGTGCGTTTTTGGACGATGAAGTCAAGAATACAAACCCAGAGAGAATACAAACCCAGAGTAGGAAACTGTTAAACCAGCCACCTGGAGCACCTCACAATCGCATGCGAAGTACAGGAAGCTTAACAGATATGCAGTTATAAAGGTGGCACTTGCAAATTTTGCCATTCCAGTTATGTGTAACTTGAACTTTTTAATGATAAAGCCTCCCAGAAACATGCCCAGAATTGTAATTGGCAAAAGTATCACACCTGGAAACAAAAGGGAACAGAAGGATGTTAGAAATGTCTGTGTGTAGTTTGTGTTTTTGTGTCATTTAGTTTCTTAACTATGAATATGTAAAATTTAGCTTAGCTGAAATAGACCCTAATCCAAATCTTGCCCTATTCTTCAGACTGAGTGTTTGAAGCTCAACAAAGTTGTTTCATTTTTGCTTCCTGCTCCATTTTCTCCTTATACCTGTAATTCCCTTAGAAAAAGACTATTTTCATTATATTCCTTGCCTTTTTGGCATGTCATTGCCAGCACAGGTTTGCAGGTGCTAGACGTTTGAACAATTCAGATAAAAATCACCACCTTTTGGACACTTAGCCCTGGTTTACACTAGGGAGTTATTTTTGCAGTAATTACTCCCCAGTGCTTCCTGGGGTTCTAGGTCGAGTTAGTGTGTCCACAATAACAGAGTCCTGCCTCAGACTAATTTCAAGACTTCCCCATGGTGTGGAAACACTATTTCAGTTTTGTTATTTCTGGAGTTATTAAATCAATTTTCGTTATTTCGAAATAGTTTCCTAATGTAGACATGCCCTGACGCAGCTGACATGAGCCTCTATATCTTTTGGGATCTGGCCATAGGTAGTTAACAAAGCTGGTGAAAGAGGGCAATGTTTGGATTTGATCTGAGCTTGAGTTAAGATTACACTTGTAGGTTGGAGGCTGATCCTGGCTAAGGTTTGGGCTCATAGTCAATGAAGTCAAAACCTCACAGACTCTCCTCCTGAGATTTTGACCCCAAACACTGTTGTTCTGAGATTTTAGTCATCTGCTCTTGTGAGACTTTGGAATCATCCAACCAGGGCCATAAATAAGTCCCTTTCAGTTTGGATCCAATCAATAATTGAGAGCAGTAGGGACTGGTTCAGATTCAGGAATCTGATTCCTAGTGCCTTGCTATCCTTAAAATCCCAAAGGGTTCAGATGGCATAGTTTGAGATGTATTATCAGCCAGTTTACTATATGAAGAAGTACATGAAAACAATCATTAGATCTATATATTTCAAAAATACTGTAGGTAAATAATAATCTTCAATTTAAGCATTAATCCACCACTCACAAAGGAATCCTTTATACTCCATTTTATACTTAAGGACCCAATGCAACTCCACTGAAGTGAGTGTAAAAGCTCTCTTGGAAATGAGTGGGATCAGGATTTGGTCTTAAGATAGAAGGAGAAGTAACAAAATTATATTTTTTCATTTTAGGTTGAAAAGAAGGACACGTACCGATTAGAAAGATGGCTCTTGACACTGATATATTAAATTGCTGTTCCATAAACTTTGTCTCAAAAGTTATCAACCCAACCATAGAATTATACTGCAGAACAGTGAGAAGCAAGTAAACCAGAAAGACTGGGTTCCCAAGAAGTTTCTTCAAAGTTGGTAGGAAATCTATAAAAGAAAGATGAGTGTCATCTGCTCATATGGAAAGCTTTGTCATTATTCAGCTGATGAATCAGACACAGTTTTAGCTACTGGCTGTGTTAATCTGAGGGGGAGGAAATTAATCTTTCTAAGGGCATCCTTACAACAGTGAGAACTTTCCTCTTCTTCCATACTTGGCGGGGGCCAGGTCTACACTAAAAGGGAAGGTCAAATCAAGATACGCAACTCTAGCTACATTAATTACTCAGTTGGAATCAATGTACCTTGTTTTAAGTTTCCCCGCCGTTCCGCACAATGGGAGGTCAACAGGAGCAAACCCTCCCATCAGCTTCCCTTATTCCTTGCAGAAGCAAGAGTACCTGCCACTGTTGGGGGTGCTTTCTGAGTCTGCAGCAGCATTGATCTTCCATTTAGTGAAGACATAGCCTTAGAGATACTAGTACATCAACAGGTGGTACAATATAATGGATAATGTACTCAACTGGGAATCAAGAGACCTGGTTTGTATCCCTGAATCTGTCAAAGGCTTCTTGGATTGTATAATTTTTGGAGCGAGGACTAGTACTTATAAGCATGTACAATGTTTAATCCAAATCATGAGTGGGACCTCTAATTACCACTAGACTACTGCTACTAATAATAATGTCAATGGTTGCAAGTTATCTGAAGTACTGCCAACCATAAGTATTCAAACCTCATGTGCTGGGTCCCAAAAATCATAATATTTTAAATAACTTTAGGGCTTATTTTATTTGCCTTTTTTCTATCTTAAGTGAGACAAGGTGGGTGAACTAATATTTTTATTGGCTCAATCTCTGTTCGTGAATGAGAAGCTATCAAGCTACACAGAACGCTTGTTCACATGAGCGTGTAGGGTTTGCATCTGAACGTTTTCCTCTTCAATCATGAGAGCTAGAACCTTACTTCAAAAAAGAAAAGATTGATAAGTCTCCTATAGTCATGCGATTCCAGGAGCTGAGTTTTTAGCATAAACACTGCATATCATGAGATTTGCAGTAAAAGTGTAGGCGGTAGCAATACGGTACTTGTTATTTCCCTCTTTTACATTGATCTTGTTAATAGAGGGGAATAACTTCAGAGGAATGAAGGACACATTGTCAGGTTTTCCTGCACTGACTTCCCTACTCAATGCCACTTACCTTATGTTTATGGATGTACCATGCCGTGCCAGTGTGATGGCTAACACACCGAAACATTAAATCAGGGACCTCCACACCTAAAAACACCAGTTGTTACAGCTTTAGCTAAAGTTCAATTGATGGAGGTAGGTTCTACTACCTCATATTCTTTGTGGGGTAGCATTGGTGAGTGGGGAATCTGTATCACATTCTCACCAGGGAGAGTGTACCAGCACTACATAGGATGACTGATGATGATGATTTACTATTTGCACTACAGTAATATCCAGGGATACAGCCTGTTTGTTGTCATTCAGTTTTTAATGTAGGGCTGCTTACGTGTTTGTATAGCAATGTGAAATAGATCGTCCAATGTGCTGTTACCTTTTACTGCTTCTGAAAACTTCAGCTGTGGTTGATTTGTGGGTTCTATGTTACAGTGATCTTCTTGGATAGTTATAGATGATTCACTCAGCTTCTTGAAATTTCTTTCTTCTCCTTCTTTTGGTAAGGAATAAGGAAGGAACCAGAAAGGCAATGAAGCCAGAAAATTGACTGCTGCACATATCACCAGTCCAAGCCACCAGGCTCCAACCCAACGAATATCTTTGGGATTTATGGTTAAACTCTCTTTAAATAAAGAAAGAGAGATTACAAATTAAGCACCAGGTTTTTGTTTCTTGATTAAGTGAAATCTTTTATATATTTGAGAGAGTCTGTCTGTGAGTTTGTCTGTGTGTCTATTTCTGTTTATTCAAAATGGTAAGAGCTAGGACTACCAAATTTGGAATGCAGCTTCCTCTTATCATAACTTAAAGCAAGGTCAGGGTTTGGTTGTGCCAGGAAAATGGAATGTACAGGCAGTCCCCGGGTTACGTACAAGATAGGGACTGTAGGTTTGTTCTTAAATTGAATTTGTATGTAAGTCAGAACTGGTACATATTGTTGGGGAAACTCTAGCCAAACATTGCTCCAGAGCTCAGTTTTATTCTCCCACACCTCACTTCCCTCAGTCCTTTATTCTCAAGCTGAGGTGTCAGTTGAGAAAAGCTGCTCCGCATCTCCCTGGTCTGCTGGGGGGGCGCTAGCTTCGCGTCTCCCTGGTCTGCTGTGGGGAAGCAGCTAATGCGGGGTTGCCTCACCCCGTTTGTAAGTAGGGATCCGATGTAAGTCGGATCCATGTAACCCGGGGACTGCCTGTACCTGGAATGGGATTGCTTCTCTTAAAATGGAAAGGGAGGGATGTACTATATAATGGCCATGGGTAGAGGCAGGGGACAGCATGGGGCCAGAGATAGGGACCAGGTCAGCTATAACCCCATTGGAACAGCATGGGGAAGGGGCAGAGAAAGGGACGGCTATCTGCTATATATTTCAGAGAGTTTGTCTGTTTATGTGCCTGTCTGTCTCCCAGCTAGGGAATCTGTACCGTTCCCCCTGGCTGTGCCTGCTGGAGTTCCAGTGGCTATGGAGAGGCACGTCTCACCTGGTGGTGAGAGAGGGCCTGCATACTGAACCCCTCATCCTCAGAACTACCCCAAAGGAATTATTTAAATGAAGATAAACAAAAAGTAATTGAGTTAAGGACCTGAGCAATGCCAGGTAAATCTTCTAATATAATATATTTTAGTACACAAAGCAATTTAAATGTATAGACGAATATTTGTATTAAATATTTCAACATTATTTGAAAAGAGACTTAATAATTATTTTGTTCTCCACTGTCCAAGAACAGGAAATACAAGCCACTTATTTAGGGGCCACCATGTCCCTTACCATTCCTTGATGTCCCTTTCTTGCTGCAGTCTGTCATTGCAATGTTTATTTTCCAGGAAACCCATATGAATGCAACAATTCTCCCTTTATAGGACCCAAAACTCTACTCTGGATTAGAAATGGGCAACCTGATTTAAATGATGGAAGTAGCCTCCATATGAAGCTTTGCCCATTCCCTCACCTGGAGCAGAACCAGCTCTTCGGAAGTCCTACATCTCCATTTAACATAGTCTCCCCATTGTTCTTTTCATCTGTGCAGATCACTGCATTTCCAGCCCCCTATCTAACATGTAAACCAAACAATAACATTAGCTACCAAACTAGTAACACCCATTGGAGAGCCTTTTTTCTGCAGCAACTGACTCAAAAACAATTTCTGAACACTGACAGAACGTCTGAGTCACTGATATTTCAGGATTATCATTCAGTGAATCAACTCTGTGTCTTACCAAGATCCACCACTCCAATGTCTACCCACAGATTAGCACAGAAAGAGCCAAGCAAAAAGCCAAGTGTTGGGCCAACCATTCCAGATGATCTTATGGCACCTGTAAGAGAAGGAAGATTTCATGATAACGTAATATACCTCATGCAGAAAAAAAATATTAGTCTGAAAAAATACACACAGCTCATGAGAATTTCTAATTATATGTTTTAGAAATGTTGCCATACATTTTCAGGTCCCTCTCCTGCCTGTTACAATACTCAGGGAGATTCTTTCACTCACATGGAGCCCAACAGAAATCAAAGTAGCTTTGTATGGGCTACCATATATACAGGGCATCGCCACTATAAGTTGCCCCGATATACATCCGTTCCACACTAAAGTTGTTGATGTTTGTAGGAACCAGGGTTAGACGGAGCCATGGGCGAGCCAGGCAGCTGCCCGGGGCACCAACCGATGAGGGGTGCCTGATGGCATCTGTAAGGGGCATCAGATGCCGCACGCCTGGCTCCCGCAGCGCCCTTCCCCCCACGGCCGCGGGGCCCTGCACGGCCTGGGCTGGGCAGCGCATGCGCCGAGCACCCTGGGGGCGGGCCCCGGACTGCGCGCCAGCAGCTGTGGCTGGTGCGCGCATGCACTGTGCGCCCCCCCCCAGGGACCTGCGCACCCTGGGGGGGCGGGCCCATACCCCATGGGTGAACCCGCGCATGCGCCGTACGCCCCAGGGGTGGGCCCATGCCCCTGGGTGGGTCTGCGCATGCACCGTGCGCCCGGGGGTGGCGCCACGCTCCCGGGCCCAGGGTGCCAAAAGGGCTCAGGCCAGGCCTGGTAGGAACTGATGCATTATAAGTCCTCCCATTCTCTGCTATAAGTCGTGCAAAACACTACCCCGAATTTGCTTAAATGGAAATCAGCCACTTTAAGTTGTTTCGCTATAAGTCCAAGTTTTTTGGAACATATTTCAGACTTATAGCAAGGACAGCCTGTACTGTATCTGGCAGGATCAGTGGCAAGATACAATATAGAAAAAAATATATCTCGGTGATGTTCATTAACTGAATGATACAGTCACATAGAGCTGAAAAGAAAAAAATAGATTTAAATCACTAAGACACATAGGCTGCGTCTAGAGTTTTTCCGCAAAAGCAGCTGCTTAAAGTTAAACATGTACTTACACACTTCATGTGGAGCCTAAATACAGTGATTTATAGTACAGGAAAACAAGTAGAAATATAGATTTATCAATGTATAGATAAAATACTTTGAATATGTCAGTCAACAATTAATATGCCTCTGTTTAAGTGTAGTTCAGTAAAAAGAATGTTTACGAAATGCAAATGAATGTGAGAATGTGCAAACCAACAAAAAGCTATGTTAATATTATTTATACAGCTCCAAAAATAGGCTAGTAGAAAAACAAGGAGACAATCCTGGCTCTACTGAAGTCAGTGGGAGTTTTGCTGTTGAATTCATGGGGGCCAACATTTCACCCAAGGTCTTTGCTTACGAACTAACCAGACATCAGAGACCAAGGACGGAGATGAGCTGCAACAAGAAGCAAATGAATGAGCAGGAAAGTTTAGTACAAACTCGTCAGGCCCATGCTTCACTTTGTTACACTGTTTTACAGTCTAATTTGTGGAATGCAGCACAATTTGATTTTATTTATCACTAGGTGTCATGGCTATACAGATTTTTTTAAACAAAGAAGCAGCAGCGCCAAAAAATTAATTTCTACATGGATGGCAGCGTTTCCCTTTCTCTTTCTCTTATGCTGCTCTGTAGAATTTTTGAGTTGTAAGGAACATAATGGGGGTAAAATTGTCAAAAGTGCTTAGATTCAAACAGCTATTGTAATGCTTAATGTTGCAATGCCAGCTCTTAGGGGCCCTGCTACCCAGTGGAATACTCTTCCCTGAGTTAGGTGCTCAAGCTCCCCATTGTAAGGAAAGAGCAAGACATCTAAAAAAGGGGTTTTCAGAATCCAGTAAATTGGGTAGAAAGCAATCTAAATTAGCCAGGAGTGAATGCAATGGAAAGGTACGGGATTTAGATCTAGATTCTCAAAGATATTAAAAGCGGCGAGGAGTCCTGTGGCACCTTATAGACTAACTGAAGTGTTGGAGCATAAGCTTTCGTGGGCAAAGACCCACTTCGTTACATGCATCTGATGGTTTGAGAATCATGCTTTGGGGCTGCCAGTGTTTTTGCTTGTGCCACAGCTTTGAAAAGCCTGTTAGCTAAGAGGCGGCATCCGGATTTGACAGCTTTGTGCACGCCCACTGGTGGAAGCTTAGGAGCCTACAGGGTCAGGTAGCAACTGAATGGTGTTTCTGAGAACATCGATGGCACCTAAAGGTTGAACTTAGGCCCTAAAGAGGCAGTTAGTCACCTAAGCACCTGGGTGAATCCAAGTGACCAGGACTTGGATTCCTAAATTACTTAGGAATTTTGAAGATGTTAATCTTGGAACAGATTTCTTTGATTTTCTTTTGTTTTTGTTGGTGTTGTTTTTCAATAGCAGGAAATAATCTTTTAGTGGGTAACAGTTGAAGACAAGTTATATTAGGCATGTCAATATAGATTTCAAGGATGGTCAATCCAATTATAACTTTTTCCCCTCTCACGTGGAGATTTTTCTAATCATTTTCTAATTTGAGAGGCTCCTTGTTTTACAGATATCATTACAGGTTGTACCGCTATAAACTGGGGACTCTGGTTTGGCAACATCCTGCACTCGGGACCATGGATGTTCCAGGATCAACGAGTCCCAGTGCATTGTGGGGGGTAGTGGGCGAAGGAGCATGGTGCATTGCAGGGAGGTAGGAGCTCGGCCTGTGGCTCAGTTAGGCTGAGGGGGAAGTCGGGAAGGCCAGTGCACAGCCCAGTTGTGCAGGGGTAGCCAGGCTGTGGGGGGAAACGGGAGGCAGGAAGCCCTAGAGAGGGCGCTGGGGGGGGGGGGGGGGGGGGGGGGCAGAAATGACTTCCCTTGATCTGACAAAATCCCTCATCTGGGACCAGTCAGATCCCAAGTGCGCTGGACAAGCTGGGCAAGATGCAGCCGGGGGCCAGATCCAGCCCACCTAGCACTTTGATCCAGCCCATGGACTGGTTGTGTTCTATTCATATCCTATGGCCCATGCCACCAAATTTCCTATTTCAGTGGCTCATGGCTTACGGTTGCGGCAGGGGATGGAGCCATGAGCCCTTTAAATAGACACAGCAACCCTGGGCAGCTGCTCGACAATGCAGCCCAAGCCCTTTGCTGTGTTTTTAATTCAAAACCTCTAACCCCAGACAGCTCTGGAAGGAGGCTAGTCCCCAGCCCAGCCCCTTCTGCCTCAGTTCCAACCCCTGCCAGGGGTGAATTTGGCCCCTGCTATGTACCAATATTCATTAAGTGCCCCCCAATTATTGCTCACCCAGGTCCAACCTGGACAATGATCACTCAGCAAATAAACAATGTTTCTTCTAATGGAGCCTCACACTATAATCCCATTATGCGGACTTCATTCTCCACATTTCAACAGTTCTACCTCACTTCCGCTCAGTTCACTTCACAGGAGAACCTGAAGTTACTGCCTAGGGAATCAAAATGAAATCTTGAGACAATAACAAAACTCGTGGATTTTTAGTGGAACCAGATTTTATGCTTTCTATTTATTTACGTCAGTTTTACTCATCTGCAGTAAGAAAGCACCCACCAAGAGTTCTGTGCACTCCTGCCTATCTTCTAAAAATACACTAGTAAGTGAACCCACCTATCGGTATATTAACTGTCATTCAAGAATTACACAGTAAAACTTTAATATACATCAAACCATCAGCCAGATTTTGAAACAGATGCAACATTTTTCTATGTCTGTAGAGAAATGTATACCTAAGTTTCACATCTCCCTGTGTTTTTTATCTTTTAAGATATATTGAGCACCAATTTGATCTCCCCTGTAAATCGAGAGCCACTCTACTGAAGTAAGTATTGTTACACTAAGGTATGCAATAGGTATAAGAAAGAAAATAAGTTCATTTGTGACATTTTCCTGTCCAGTTCCTCAAAAGTTTGTCTCTCTCACCAACACCTCTTATTGGACCAAATTCTATCACCTCACACATCTTGTATCTCTATTAATTCTAATTTTTGAACAGCTATAATGATAGTCAATAAATGCTACATGCTTGCATGTAGAGCAGTGGTCCCCAACACGGTGCCCACGGGCGCCATGGTGCTCGTGGGGGTATTTGTGTGCGCCCGCCAAGTGCTCGGGGCTGGCCCCACCCCGGGTATGCTGCACGTACGCGGCGCCAGCCCCAGGCACATGGGAAGCGCCGGCCCCAGGCACGCAGTGAATTGGATTCCCACACCCCGGGTACGTGGCGCATGGGGAGCGCCGGCCCCGGGTGTGCAGCAAATTGGCCTCCCCACCCCCGGGCGCACGGCTATGGGGGGGTGCTGGCCCTGGGCGCGTGGCTATGGAGGGCGCCGGCCCCAGGATTGCGGCCAATGGGCGGCCCTGCCCGTGACCACGCGGTGCGTGGGGTTGCTGGCCCCAAGCACATGGCTCATGGGGTGTGGCATATGCGCCGCCCCGCCCCCGGGCACGTGAGTGTTCCTGCCCCCTGGCGCCCAGCAGCTCCAAATGGTTGGGGACCACTGATGTAGAGAATCAATTCTTCAACTGTTATAAATCAGTGTAACATAACCTGGTCCGTATATTGTTTAATAATTATTACTTTTAATCAGTTTTAACATCTGAACACATCTTGGCTATTGGTTTCAATGCAAGCAGGATTAGACCCCTAATGCCTTATTAAATCTCACTCTAGATGTTTCATTCAGCAGCCTCTGCTCTGCAGAAGAAACAGAGGGCCATACTCCTGATAAACTGCAAATTGCTCCTCTTGCAGAATGTTAAAAGTAATGGATGGCTAAACTAATTAATTGTACAAATACCCAATTACAATTAAACTCAGCAGTTCAAAGGCATGTTGTTTGCTGAGGATAACAGAAGGCTTAGTGATTAGTAGAGCTATGAAGTGAACAGTAAACCAGAACAGCCCACCAATCATATTAGAAAGGATTACACAGGAAGTCTGACAAAGGAAACAGAACAAAGCCAGGCATTCAGATTCTGATTCCTCTTCCCAAACACATCTACATATAGCTAGGTAATAATAGATGAGATTCCCTGAATTACATTGAATAATGCCTTACTCCACAAAGCTTCCACTGAAGTCAATGGGCCTGTTTGTTTGGGGAATCAGATTCTACTCAGTAAGAATAAGGATGAATCATCATCAGGCCTATGGTACTTACTATTAAAATTACATAGATTAAAGGCTGTAATGAAACCAGAACATTAATAAAACAGGAAAAAATTCACCCATGCTGTAATGCTCACAAAATACATGACAGTGACTTAGCATCTGTGACTACTAGTGTAATATTGCTCTCACTAACGAGAAGTCCTGTGGCACCTTATAGGCTAACATTTATAGGAGAATAAGCTTTTGTAGGCAAAGACCCACTTCGTCAGATTGTTCTCACTGTTACTGTGCTCCTCTATCTCTTTCTTGAAACCGTCTGTGGTCTCTCATCATATAAAGCTAGTGCCTGCAAATGAACCTGCACATGAAGATCCCCGAGTCTGTGTGAAGTCCTACTGACTTCTGTGGGGCTCAGCACAGGTGCAATAGAGTGCTGTGAATTGCAGGATCAGGGTCTTAAATCCCAATCCTGCAACCATGAAAACTTTCTTTTGTGCATTATGAGAAGTTTAATTGGGGTCAATAGGTCTATTCATAGTGCATAAAGTTTACAATGTGTATAAAACTGTACAGGACCAGGCCCTTAGCTTGTTTGGGACAAAGCTCCCCTCACACACAAATCTCTTCTCTTTTCATTATTCTTGGCTACATTGTTTAACACAATGGAGCTATAATCTTTGACTGTGGAGCTGCCACGATAAAAAATATGTAAAAATAAACAGAGAGAGAGAGAGAGAAATAAATAATGGAGACTTTGTACTTATATGAGTAAAGGAAATGGCATAAACCTGACCCTTCTATTTTTAAGACATGTTACAATTGAGTCGTTAATTATTACATATAGTGGGTGCCATTAAAAACTGGACATTTACTCCCAAAGCAATGACAGCTTATGCCAGCTGTCCTATAGATATCAGTGGGACTGCTTACACCAGCAAAATTATGCACCTGCTTCAGTGTCTGCAATATTGGAGCCATATTACTTAAAGTCACTGGCCTACCTCCTGTTCAAAGTATGCAGAAATTATAAAAATTGCAGCGAATGTTCATTTTCCACAATGGTGCCTCATGTATTAGAATTTTCCTGATTTTTTAAATGAATGAACAGAAAGGAACATGTTCCATCTAATATATCCAAATATGTTGGATTTCTGTTTCAGGAATCCTGCAAATATGAGGCATGTGAATAACTGTACTCACATGAGTAGTGCTACTGAAATCACATGAATAAAACTCTAATATGAATAAGCTTTTGCAAAATCAGCTCTTCAGTCAAATTTGGGCTGCTTTGATTTATTTTACATATACACTATAAAGATTCAAATGCTAATAACTCTGTCCTCTTGGGCTCCCTTGTGACAAAGTCCCATGGAATGGAATGGGATGAATCCAGTAGGGTTCGGCAGAATTTATTAGTGAATGATCACCTTTCTATAGATTTTCTTTAAATGAAATAAATAATAATAATAAAACTCATAGAATTCTATGGCAGGGATATCATTTTCTATTTAATTCTAGTGGATGGGTAAAAAGCTACAAAAAGGCTTTCATTTTCCATTGAGTTCTATAACATTTCAGATGTTATACGTATTTATAATTTGGATTGCTGTAACCACCCAACAACTACCTTTTCCTGGACATCCAGCCATTCAATTAACTAAATTGCCTGTAAGGATTAAAACCATAGGTAGTGGGTCCTAGAGAGTTTCCAGAACTGCTAGGGCAGCAGGAAATATTGGCAGGAAACCAGGAGAGCCAATGAAAAGAGTGTGGGGTTTTTTAATTAGAAGTAGTGACCTTCCAGTTCCAGTCTTTGTATTTGTGTTACCAGAGCAGAGGTAGGAGAGATGAAATGAGCCCGGAAAACAGACATGGAGGATTCAGCAACATCCTTGCCTAGGGAAGAACTAAACCTTGGAATAACAAATATGTGAGTAGAGCAGGGATTGTTTAGATGTGATCAGATTATTTTCTTTATTTTTGGGTTTGTTGGGCTTCTTTGTGCTGCGCATATGTACAGCTCCTTCCTTCCTTACACTAACTTTTAAACTGAATCCCAAGGAAGCAATTCTCTGTGCTTTAATCTTTCTTTTTTAGTTGCTCTGTAACACCTAGCAATCAAGTATGTTTTACCAGTATGTTTTGTTTTGTTAATAAAAATCACCTTTTTCAGACCATGATCTTATACCTGTGTCCTAAATGAAAGGCGGTTCTGTGTGCATGTACCTAAGCCTGAAAAGTCAACTACTATGAAAATTGGAGAGTTTTTTTTAAAGCTCTCTCCAGGGAAAGGGTTAAAATGTATGAGGGTACCCCAAAGGAAGAAATTCCCAAAGGCATCTTTAGGTTCTCAAAAGGGGTTTGCATTTGGATGTTGGCAGCGTATTATCCATGGTCAGGGAATCTGTGACCTTGGGGAAAAGCAGTTAGTGGCAGGGTATTTTAAAGTCTCTTGTGGGCCCCCAACTTCTGCATATAAGGCTGTCTACACACAGTGGGGTTTTTCCAGGATAAGCCCCACCGTGACCAGAGAACGCATTTGCTCTTCCACTTTTTTTGCGAAAGTGCAAATGCGCTCTTTCGGAATCCCTGTCTTCCTTATTCCATCAGGAAGAAGGGCTCTTTCGAAAGAGGGGAATTTTCTGAAATTTGGCCCAGTGTAGATGGGCCAAATTTCAGAAAAGCCTCTTCGGGAAAAAAAATCGGAAAAAGCTGTAGCTTGACCTAGCCAAAGTGCCAGAATGGAGAACAGCCTTGACACACCCAATTGAAATCAGAGCTACACTGTGAGAGGCACAGTGCAGAAACATAATAAGAGACTACTCCTACCCCAAAAAACGTACACTCTAAGTAGACATGGCAGACAAAGGAGAGAAAGTGGAAGTGGACGTGAATGCACAGAGGTGATGTTATTTGACCAAGGCCTCACACAGATCTGTGGTCAAAATTTAATGATAGGCTTGAGTGGATTTTTTCCATTAGAAGACAATACTTATTAGGCACTAATATGGCATGGATGAGTCTTGTACATCAAATATGCAGAAGAGTATTGGAATGAAAGATGATCAATAAGTGGGATTTACAGTTTGCAGGAAACCCAATATTTCAGCACTTGGTATAATCCCAAATTAAGATGAAATGTGAACATGTCAAAACATTTAATGGAATGAAGGTATGAAAATGTTTGACTCAGGAATGTCTGAAGCATTTCTGGTTTCCCAACCATTTTTTTTTTCAGTTTATTGGCCCAAAAGAAAACGTTTAGTTTCAGGTTGATTCAATATTAATTTCTGGGTCTGTTTAAGGTGGCAGAGCGCCTCATGCCCATTGTAACTGCTCCTACATTTCCCTGATACACCGTGGTCCTTCTTGTGACTGTAGTGGGACTTTTGGAAATGGGACATTTTTTGACTACTTCGAATTAGAAAGTTCTGAGGCGATTATGAATATCTTCATAAAGGGAAATAGGGAATTAGTGGTTTTGTACAGCCCCATTCTGAATATTCCACATCTTTCTATCTACGATTTTTCTTTCTTCATCCTTAAGCAAATTCAGTTTTCAGTGGCTTTTGGTGCAATATCATCTATTCTGTTCTTGCTGAGATTAGTATAATATGCTGATATTTCCATAGCCAGTTTATGTGCCATCAAATTTATTCTGATAAATTGCTTAGCCATGCATCAGCTGCATAGATTATGGTTTAGATATAGTAATTAAATGTATTAAGCTGGTTATGAATATGTTAATACAGTTGGGAGTCTCTCCCCCCGGTCAATAAGAAATCCAGCTTCCAGAGAAATGCCCATTAGCAGTGATGGGAAATGACATCCTAACAGGTGATTGAGTATGTCCCTGCCTGACACTAGTGACTTTTCCTGAATTGCACAACATCGCAAAACTCAAATTGCTAACTGTAAACTTTCTGAAAGCTTTTTATAATGTTAAAAGTATTTTCATTAAGGTAGGTTATTTGGGGAAGGATGGCTAAGAAGAGTTTGCCCTCTAAAGCAGTGACAATCTGTGGTTCTGGAGCTAAACATGGCTCTTCATGGTCCCCTTGTAGAATTATCAGGGTAAGTCTCTGCTATGCTCTAGTGTTCTTCTGTCAGCCAACAAATTGATGCATGTTGCAAAAGACCCTGAGAGGGAGAGAAAGGTGCTGATTGAATCCCTTATCCAAAAGATAAGACTGGAACTTACTCAACATTCCACTCTTATCTTTGTAAAGTGAGGAAAGAATACAGAATATTGCCAAACAAATGCTTGTAGTGTTCTAGTTTTGATGCAGACATGTTAAAAGATTGCTTTTGGCATTGATATTGTGCATTAACTTATTACCTATGTAGAATGCTGAGTTTTCTTCTTTGGCAAAATCATCAACATATGAAACCCCTAGTGGCATAATAGGTGCTTCACCGATTCCACGTAAAAGGTTCCCCATCATTACAAACATCCACAGATAGGAGCTTGCTACTTTTTCACAACCTGTAGGCAAAAAAACATTTTTGGAAACAGAGCTTTCAGAAGAACTTATTTGCAACAGAATTGAAATGGTGCCTTTTGAACAATGGGGGGAAACACCCATAATAAACGTAATCACTGTTTTCACAATCTGCTATACCCTTGAGGTCCATTTTATAGCCAGCCATTCAAGAGAAAATCTTGTGTGTTCTGATAGAATATTTTGACATGAAAAATGTCATTGGATTGCAGTGAGGGGACATTTTGCTGGCCACAAAATGGGGCTGGGGAATGGAGGCAATAAACTTGCAATCAGGAGCATTTACTCAGACAGATAGGCTTGCTGAAGTCAAGGCACTTAAGAGGGTGCTTAAAGTTAAGCACCTGCTTAAGTGCTTTGCTTAATCAGGACAATGGGTATGTTTTCTTTGGATAGTCTCCTTCATATGTTAGTGGAATTACAGAAAGTTGAATATCTATGTAAATAATAGGAGCTTCTAATCTGGATAATAGGAATGCTACACTTAGCTCTTTCTATTTTCTCCTCAGTACATATAAATACGGCTTCCATTAAATTTGGGGGATGAGATGGGTGTATGTGACTGGAGAACATGCCTCCCCTTAGTGATTTTAATCTTATGTTTTCCAATAAAAAGAGAATATATAAAATGAAGCTAAACAAGAGGGATTCCAATTACAGAGCTTTGGCTTACCAGAATTTTTCAACTCCCTAGTCATTTCCATGGAATTGAAAGTTGGATGATATAAAGGTAATGCCAGAGAGCACGCTGATAAACTTGTAGATGAGTTGTCCTCTGTAAGCGGTATTCTTTCATAATTATAACTGGAAAATAATGGTGTTATATGTAGATGAAATACTAAAGACTCATCTCTTAGAAATATTGTATGTAAACGTGATGTTCATGGAATTACTTTGTCTATTTATGAAGACAGAGTTGATAGACAACTAACTGTGGCTTGGGCGAGTCACAGCTTAGTGCTTCCTCAAAAAGAATCGATAGTTGATGCACCCTCATATAGGATTCTAATGTTGTCCCCAGACTAAGGGAGCTATAAATGGTTACACACCCAGTAAGCCAACCTTGAGCATAAGAATTTCAAATTCAGTTGTGACCACTCACAATCCAGTGTCTGGCTTGGCTGCACATTCAAATAGCTGTATGTTTTTAGCGAGAGACTTTGTTCAGCGGATTCAAGAGACAACCTGGCGTTGATGGAGTTTGGTAGAGTCCAGGGTTTCAATATACTGACAGGCACATTGTTATTTTTAGAAGGAATTAGTACAGCATGCAGTAAAGGGGACACCCGCTGCCCCACAGTGGAGGGGCCACTTGCAGAGCCCTGTTGAGTGGAGCTAGGCCATGCTCACCCCTCCCTTCAGAAATCAGTGGAAGGGACAGAAAATATAAAAGGTAGGTATGGGAGCTCAATTTGGTTGCAGCTGTTGAAGGAGCCAGACACCTCCTGCCTGCCACTGGCTGCTATGGTACTAAGGACTAGCTGATGCTGCCAGAGCCACCAATGTACCAAGTAACAGTTGCTGGGATTGCCGCTGGCCTTCTACCCAGATGACTCAGAGGAACCCATACAGGCCCAGGTACATCCAGCAGGGGAGATAGGAAGTAACAGAGGGGAATAGCCTGCAATAAGGTTGGTGTGTTGCAGGGGGATATCTACCGGCTCAGTGGCAGCCCACTGCACCACTGTCAAGGACCTGGGCTGGAATGCAGTGGAATTAGGTGTGCCCACATCCTCCCTGCCACCCAACCCAGAACTACAAGCCAAATGGGACTCGGCTAATTCCCCAACTGTGAGCAATGCCTCACGACATAATGAGGTGGAGTGGCATCCCACAGACCTCGAGGGGGGAGAGGCCACCACTAATTCACTACACAACCTCTACTAATTTGATGAAAGACAATATGGTCCATGGCTCATTCCCACCTGCCCACTGGAGGTGTGGGGAAAGGTTTATCTTTCAAAGCTGTATGGAGATCATCGATTACATTAATACATCCCTCACTGGGAGGTGCCATGCAGTTCTCAGAGACTGCTGACCCTCTGCATTTTCCCAAGCAGAGCAGAGGTTGGGATCTTTTCTGCTCTTTGGTCCACATAGCCCCACTCAGTATTCCTACACAATCTTCCTTTTATGGCATCTCCTCTCTAGGTAGGCCTGTTCTGGGGAGAAACAAGCCTCTCTCATTGGCATTGCCTTCCCTGATTTCATTCCTTCCAGTGCCCTGGTTGTCCTCAATGGCAGTTGTAAGGATAGGAAAGGGGCAGAGCACCATACAGCAGCCAGGAATTAGTGCTTTCTGGCAGCTGTGTACAGACACCATTGAAAGACCTCTGGCTAGGCGGATGAGGACCAGAGGAGGGCCCAGAGATTCAAAGCAGGCCAGAGCTCCTGGCTGCAGTGGTGGTGGTGGCAGCCAGAACCCTGGGCCCTTCCATCTGAGCCCCCACTCCTTCCAGAAGTGCAGAGCCAGGAGGGCCCCCACCTTGCTGAGGGGCCTGTGCAGGCTGTTGACTCCCTTGGTTCTGGCTGCCTTCATACCACAGAACGAGGCAAGCTCAGAATAGGGCCTTCAGTAAGTCAGAGAGTCAATGAATACTAAAATATCATGCCCTGCTATGCTACTGAAACCATCCCAATCTTTGGGGGAAACCTTAATTTGCCAAACCAGTTCTTCAGCTTTTCTCTCAGGTGTCCTGTAGAACATTTGCTTCAAAAGTTGGAGTTTAAATGGTACAAAATGTAATAATCAGCCATAGTTACCGTCCCATTAGGAAGTGAGGCATCACTGATAAAAATGCTCCAAATGACATGATGAGACATCCAACAGCAATTACTCTGGGCCGGTGAACTTTTGGTCCAAGATAGCTCACCAGAATCATCACCATTAAATTACCTGAAAATATATATACAAAGCTCCTATGAGAATAACTGCCTTTAAATAAATTGTTCATTAAAATGCTCATCCTTTTTACTTGCAATGGGAAAGCTACCTACCTAACTCAAAGCTTCCATCAATGAGGCCGACAATTGATGAGGGAATTTCAAATCTCCGTTCAATTTGAGTTGACATACTATTCATGTAGCTTCCAGAAAATCCTTTGGCGAAAAAGGAGAATGCTAGCGCCCCAAGAAATAGCTGAAGAAAAGGAAATTGAGTGGGTTAAGAACCATCTCTCCACAGTGATCAGATGGCTCAGGGGATCAGAAATGAAATGCAGACATTAGGGGTGTGTCCACAGAACAGGACTTAACTCGAAATAAGCTACGCAAATTGAGCTACATCAATTGCGTGGTTTATTTTGAAATAGATTATGTCAAAATTGGGAGCGTCTACACAGCACTTATTTTGAAATAGAGCACTTTCCCTCCAATTTCCCTTACTCCTCATATAATGAGGGTTATAGGAGTCAGAGAAAGAAGTCCTCCAGCTTGACAGTATTTCAACATTATTTCGAAATAATTACCTGCTGTGTAGATGCGGACTTAGTTATTTAAAAATAACATTACCATGTAGACACATTAGATGTGCTGTTTGGGTGATGCCTCCTTTCATTATTTTCCTTCAGTCAACAGCTTTTACTTTATAATTAGCCTGGCTTTCAAACGCTCACACTTTGCGATGAAAAATGTTGAGCTTGACCCCCTGCCCTGTTTTTATGTGCAATCTGAGAAGGGCTGCTGGCCACAGGGAGAATGGATTCCCTGCCTGCATTGTAATCTTTTCTGTTGCCTTCTCTGGCAAGAGTTTCCTGTCTAAAGCTATTTAAATGTAATAATAATAAACACAGCCTTAGTTATTGTTATTATTTCCACTCTATTTCTGATGCACCCATTTCCAAGATTCAAGCTGATCCTAAACCCATTGAAAACTTCCATTGACTTTACACTATTTATTAAACTTTATGAAATGTTACTGCTTTTATGGTCTGAACACAAACCCAATGAAGTACTAGCACACTGAATTCACAATGCTTTTTATGCAATTAAAGATTGAGCCATGGTCTTTATACCTTTAACTTAGAAAAATAAGGATACATTCTCTTGATAGGAAGTGGCTCAGTACTTGTGTCCAGGAAATGTGGGTTGTCTTTAGATTGGTCAGGAATCATTCTTGTTTCCATGATGTTGCTCTTCTAGATTGAATACATGTCTTCCTGTTTGGAAAAACTCATAAGTTATCATTTATATTGCATCTTGTAATACCTTCAATTATTTAGATAATAGTATAGTGAGTACACTTATAAAATTTGCCAACAATATCAAGCTGAGAAGGATTGCAAGTGATTTGGAGGATAGAATTGTGATGATTTGGATCACAGAGATCCCGTTGTCAGCTGGAATGCTGATCTTACCACTGAGGCCACCTACCCACCCTCTGGGGTGCCCTATTACCATGTCCTGCTGGGCCAGAAGCTCTGGTCTCTGCCAGCAAAGCCACAGAGTTGGGATAACAGCCCCCACAGAGTAACACAGATGCTGATAAAAGGAGCACTCAGATGATAAGAAAGGACTCAGTTACAGGGACTTGACAACACCCAGGGGCACAGCCAAAATAAATCCATCTTACTCTGTATAAAAGTTTTACACAGAGAAAGCTAATGGAGTTCTCTGCCTTTATCAATGAAAGAGAGATATGCACAATAGCTGATTCCTTGCCTCCCAGGTAACAATTATTTACACTGGATTTGATAATAAACAAAAGTGTTTTGTTAAATAGTTAAATAGATTTAGTGATTGCATGTGAAAGCGGACAGATCAAAATAAGTTACTAAGAAAAATAAAGCAAAACATGCTAGCTAAGCTTAATGCATTATGAGAAGTTGTTACAAAGCACATTTCTCACCCTAGTTCTTATATCAGATGCAATTTTTCAAGTCAGAGCTATCTTTTTCTCTGACCTGGGCCCAGTAATGCTCCTCCACTCTTCTCATTACAATTGTTTCTTGCTCCTGCCACTGCCAAAAGTGAGCGAGTGGGGGGTGCGATGGCTGCTGCCGTGTAGCGCCAGACCCCGCCCCTGATCCCCAACACCGCATGCTCAGGGGACAGAATACCATGGATGGGGAAGAGGGTGGGATGATGGACTCCTCCAACCCCCACTGGCCTGCTGGGAGTCTCAGACTGGACTGTGCAATTGCTTCAGCTGGAACTGGCCCACGGGACTGAAGTTTGAAACCCTTGGCATAAGGGAAAACCAGGGACATACCCAGAGCAGTGCTCAACATTCCAACAGACACACATCACAGCTGAATCAGCTGAGGTATTGGGCACAGAATATTCTGCATGGATCCTGCAGGAGTTTCTGCACATAGTAAGGCCCCTGAGGATAAGAACTCCAAGAAAGAAAAGATATGAAGTTCTACCTTAATGAGGCTGAGAATGGCAGTACTTATCATGGATGTTGTACTCGGACATATTTTTGGGGGACTCATTTGGACCCTGCTGTTCACATGTATAATTTTCTGCTTCTCTTGTAGAAATGCTGAAGACTTATTCTAAACCCAGACCATTGCTGTCAATGTGTGTGTCAGGCATGTTGAGGGCATAAAGTATTAATGGCATGTTTTGCCACACAATTCAAATGAAAACTGGGAGAAGTTCAGTGATAGGTTGATATAGAAACCACTAACGTTGTGTCTGATAGGTGAGGACCTTGCTCTCTTAAGACCTCAGATTAACTATCACTTTACTATTGGATTTCTACTAAAACTTTTTAATCCAGCCAATCCCCCGTTCCATATTACCCGGGCACTATTGCTCTAATGGCCCAGTGCACCCATTCCAGGCTAGTAGAGCCCAGCCTGTAGCTTGCTTTCTCTTTCAGTCACTGCCTTGTCTGGCTCCGGTTACAGTTTGCCTAATGTCTGTGTGTTCCTGTGCAGTTCCTCCTCTTGTCTGTGTCATTGACAGTCTCCTGCACAGCCAGCCACACACTCACTGTCAGACACGTGGGCTGTTGCCTGCCTTGCCCTTCTATGCCCTCACACAAGAGATCATCACTAGCAGCTACCTACTACCTGAGCGCCTCAGAGTTTGGCTCACAGCGATGTCCTGGGATGACAATATTGCCAGCATAAGAGTCTGACCAATATAATGCTATCTGTTCTCTGTGTGCTGAAATTACTGGCATCATTAGTTATGGTTTTTTCCAGTGAAATTGTCACTTCTTGGTGTTATGTATGCAGCCTTCTTCTCTTTTGTTGTTGTTGTTTCTTTGTATTTCTCACTAGCAGGCATTGCTCCAGGTTATCCAGACCAGTCACCACTGCGCCCTTTCGTGAGACTTACCCAATTTCCATCATGTCCTTTCCTGCCTCCTCTTTCACTAAAGTTCTTGGAGGCTGTACCAGCCATAAGGATGTTCACAGGCCTGTTCTGGCTGAGGGAGATGGATATAGATGCATTGATTTGCTCTGGCTAACTTAGTTATGCACTTGCCAGGAATAGAATAGCCGCACCTGTTTGGGATCCCAGCAATCATTTTAGGGCTTCTAAAAATTCATGGTGACTGGTCAGCCCCTTAACCATGTCCCAGCTCTACTGCATTGTTCCTGTCTCCCAGCCAAAGGATGACTCTGTTCCTTTTCTGAAAATTCCTAGGGTACCCAGAAAGATCAAAATTCACATCTTAGCCACCCAAACTTCTAATTTCAACAGTATAGGGAGTCCCCGGGTTACGTACAGGATAGGGACTGTAGGTTTGTTCTTAAGTTGAATCTGTATGTAAGTCGGAACTGGCGTCCAGATTCAGCCGCTGCTGAAACTGATCAGTTTGGACACCAGTTCCGACTTACATACAGATTCAACTTAAGAACCCCAGGTGTCCCCAAGTCAGCTG